TATAGACATTGTGTATATTAAGGTAGAGTAATATCTAAATCATATCTCAATCATATACAGTAATCTACGACAACTGTGAATTCTTACCATTGGTTCTTGTGCAAATGCCATTCTGAACGCACCACCCACACTTCTCATTCAACCTGACACCAGGTGGTGCAAATGTTATAGGACCAGTTCCTTGACCCCAAATAATGCATGATTCACATGTTGTTAAAACATCACATATACCTGGACAGTCACTTTGGTGAAATGTACTCGCACACATCTGAAAATCAAAAGGTGAAATTAATATAGATTCCCTTGTATATTTCAATGTGCTCCTTCAATATCAGAAGGCAGGAGTACAATATGAATTTTTCGGAAAAGCAATTGGCATTTATTTTTTTGCACATATTTTAGCCCTTGTGTTACCATGTTCATTAACTTGGTAAATTTACCAACAAATTGGGATTACCTCCCAGTGTACAAACCAATTGACAACTACTGTAACCTTGCAAAAACATGCTCAATTAGGCCTTTGGGAGAAAACCAAAACAATACCTTTTGTTGACTGTGTGGTAAACAAGCTTGTGAATTGTCCACCTCGGTATGATCACACCAACCACAATCAGGATCAAGATTACATGAACTCAATCTAAAAATATAAATGTAAATATTTTTTTCAGTTCTTCTGGTACACTGCATAGATATTTCTGAAAAAAACTGTTGCTTTTGTTGAGAATCTTGCTATGGTTCTACTGAGTTGCTTCAACATCATCAGGAGATTCTCTAGTTATTTAAATAGTTAATGTTAAACTATGATGTCTGCAAGATCTTTTCATTACTGCACCAACTCAGTTTTTAATATTAGTTTTTTTAAAATGTGTTCTGTAATTCATTACACTATTATTTGATTGTACCATTTCGGTTCCAGAAATTTGCTTATTGAGGAATGAGGAATTGAATTTAAACATTCATGTTGGACATTGGTAAAAACTATTGCCACCAGACAAAATCCCAGTATTTCTATTACTTAAAGATTTCAGGTGAAGAAAGTAAATGTGTGTAAGGTTGATTGTTCTAATGGCTGAGGAGCAAACAATAATGAGGCTAGGAGAGTAAAGATGTTTTAATCGCAACAAAAAAAAATCCTGCTGTCAAAAAGAATTAAATCCAGACCCATGGAATTGGAGGGCAGGCAACTTAACCATCAAACTATTTAACTTTACTACATTAAAACTGATAGTGTATGTGCACTGCTCTATTGGGATCACTGTGTTCCTGGTTCTATAGCAACAAGGTTATTACCTGTTTCAATATCAGACTTCATCTGACAATAACTTGGAAGATGTGTAAGCAATAGATCCCATCTAAAAATGGCCAATATACACTTCCCATAATATTGATTGCCTCCAGATGTAGTCTAATTCACCAATGGGAAGATGGGTGGAGGGGTTGGCACTGCACTGCGGCAAGTCCCAAGTTCTTAGTTAGTTAATTATAACCAAAGAGTAATTAACCAACCTGGTATGCATGTGACAGTAGGTATTACATTCATCAGGATGATGGGTAGCAGAATTGGTGGCAACTGAACCAGGAACTTTGATGGCTATGATATCATTCATTACAGAGCCACTGAATCCACCGGCAATCAACAATATATTACCATCTCTCACTGCAGCAATATGACCAAAGCGCCCTCTTGGATGTACATGGGTGTGATTTGATGCTAATAGTAAATAAAATTGTAGTGTTACTGGGATGAATATATAAAAAAATAAGCATTTTAAATCTTGAAACCAAAGAAATGAGAATAACATCACAGAAATGACATCAATCACACACATTCACCTGAAGAAGTGTACTGTGTATAAAAAAGATTGAAATTACAAAGAAAATTCTCAAAAACAATATTACAATACCTGTTTTAAGCAATAGTAAAGAATTAATTATTAAGCCCAAAAGACATGAATGAGATGGACAGAACCTAAATAAACTGTTTGAAAATGACAGCTGCACCATCAATGTAACAGAACATTAAAAACTAGATGTAAAATTTGAGGAAAAGTTCTCCTGTTTTCCAACTAATAGGGGTGAATTACCCACTACTCAGGCTCACCATTTGTGAAAGCGAAGTTATCAATTGGACATTCAGACTATCGTCCAATAGTGTACTGTTATTTAAGGCTATGTCACTGTTATGGCTCACCCTTTTTTTAATTGAATGGCTAATATTATAATAACTTGCCAACGCAAGTGATTCAGGCCTCAAATGCTTGTAAGCTTGGGACTTTGCCTAGCACACCTATGTCCTCGAAAACGAGAACAATTTCAACAGATAAAATCATTTATTTCAGTCCACCCCAAATATTGAAATACAGTAGAACCTAGATTTTACGCACAGTACAGGACCGGAGGGCGTACGTACGCCAGGGATTCGTAAAATTAAGGTTGGGTTAAGTTTGTGGGGACCTTTGAGCAAATACATATACACAATACAATGTGTTTATTAGTATTATTCATCATTTTACAATACCATAATAAAGTCTTCAAATAAAACCAAGTCTAGTGTATTAATTCAACACTTTAATATTTTATTTAAGAACATGAAAATATTGCAAGATTGCCTGTATGACAGAATTACAACTTGGGAACTCCCCTTCATAGCTATTCTAAACATCAGAGCTGTGGTGTTGTCTGACTAAAAACTAAAAGCATGTGCACTACACTAGACGAGCAAACTAATTAGCATTTGTATGCAAAATTATGCCTACTACCCAGCTAGTAAACTTTGTGCAGACGAGTTTTTCATACGAAGCTAAATAGGAGAGCACCGATGGTAGGTTGTTTTTCTCGCTCAGTCCATGTGGTCTTAGATTATAACAGCATGTTAATTAGATACAATCAACGCTGCTGTTGAATGCAAGTGGTCTTAGATTATAACAGCGTGTTAATTAGATACAATCAACGCTGCTGTTGAATGCAAATACTTTGCATATGGTTTTGTTTATTGTTGTAGTATTGAAAAATAAACAGAGAGAAAACTAACAAATTTCATTTTATGGTGGACCTGAAAAGTGCTGTTTGTTTTTAGTATTTTGGGGTTTGTGATGACATCATCGTTCATACGAGGCATACGTAAAATTGAGGGTTCTTATAACTGAGGTACATAAAAATGAGGTTCTACTGTACTGTAAATACAAAAACTCTCACAAATCATTCAGTGGAGGCATAGGCTCAAAGGTAGTACTGTAAATGCTAATTAAAAATACAAGGTTTATGGCAAGTCTAAGGGAAGTATAAAGTGAGGAATGAATAGAGATTACGTGAAGAAAGAAGAGAATAAATAATGGAACATAAAACAACATGAATAGAAATCCTCACCTTCACTTCTGAAGTCCTGACTTATTTCTTCATCTGTAAGCCAGCGATGGCATCCCAAATGATAAAATGACACCTGGTCTTCGTAACACTTTTCATCATAAAAATTTTTGTTTTTCTTAAAAATGTGAACATTTCCACCTG